ATTGAATGAGTATTTCCAATTGATTATAAATGAGGCTCTTTATTGGAAGGAAGGCATTGGCTTGATGTAACAAATATACATCTTATAAAGTGTGTTACATGGTGGAAATAGGAAGAATCATTATTGAATTGTTAGTTTGGTTGAAAGGACCATAATCAGCGGGCGATGGAGGTCGGAAAGAATATTGTTTGACGATGATGGTCGGAAGGACCGTAGTCGGTGAGCAATGTTGGGGTTTCAATTTCGGGTCATGGGTCGGGTTCGGGTCGAACCCGAAATTGACCCGACACTATTTGGGTTCGGGTCAACCCGCCTCATTTTTGCAAACGGGTCAATTTTTCGGACCCGAACCCGACCCGCTTCGGTGCAGGCAACGCGAGGCAGGTAATTCGGTGCATCCGTGCAGGCAATGCCGCACGCGATGGTGTTAATAATGCAGGATCGAGATGGCAGCTGGCTGGAAAGCGGCCATCGGCGGGGGACGACAATAGGAGACACGCGGCTCGATGTCTTGAAGCTCAGCCCGATGCAATTTGAGCAGTCACGTGGGTAGCCGGGGCAGGCATCGCGATGCATCATGCAGCCAGGGCAGCCAGGGCATGCAACGCGGGGCTACGGGGCAGCCAGGGCAAGCAACGCAGGGTAGATGGGTTTTTCGGGTCATTCTCGGGTTTTCGGGTCAACCCAAACCCGACCCGATTTTGCAAACGGATCAATTTTTCGGACCCGAACCCGACCCGCTTTGGGTTTAGGTCAACCCAAACCCAAAATTTTCGGGTCAAGTTTTTGGGTCTATTCTAATATTGATAGGTCTAGAGCAACAGAGGTCGAAAGGGCCATAGTCGGCAGGTGAGAGAGGTTAGAAGAATCATAGTCATCAAGTGACATTGGTCAGAAAGATTGTTGTCTGGTGAAGGAGGTTAGAAGGACCGTTGACTGACATAAGTCCTGCGTTGGTTAGAAATCTAACAATGGTGGAAGTCCGACATTGGGTAGAAGTACAATGATGGGTAGAAGTTTGGCGACGGGTGGAAGTTCGTGTTTAGGTAGAAGTACGTCCGACAAAAGTTCGATGACTAACAGAAGTTCGGCGTTAGGTAGAAATCTGGCATCGGGTAGGAGTTTAACGAAAGTCCGGCGATGAGCTGAAGTCCTGGGACTGGAGGAAGTCCTACGTAGGGGAGAAATCCGACGGCAAGCCGAAGTTCGACGTTGGTCGGTAGCCATGAGGTGGTTGAGGAGGAATATGGTGGCAAGAGAACTCTTTCTTCTCTTCCTTCTCTTATTGCTTAGTCTTCCTTCTTCCTCCTTGCTTCCTTTTTTCATGAGGGATGATGAGTCTATTTATTGTTTTCTGAGAGTGGCATGACCGATGAAGATTAAGGGTAAATTTGGATTAGTTTGAATGGATGATCAATATTGAATCCCTTAACTGTGGACCATTTACTAGGCATTTGAATGCCTTACCGAAGTCAAAATTTGACAATCTTGAGCTCATTGGATTCGTCTAGTCGAGTCGCTCAATTCGACTATAAGCATGCCACGTTCGGAAACCATTTGGTAATCCAAATTATGGATTGAACGTTCCAAGTGCGCTTCAGGTCCTTGATTTGGACTCATTTGGGCTCGGATTGAGTCGAATTTGGTGTCGTTGGGTTCATTTTTTTGAGATGTTTAATTTGATTGTAAGTTTGCTGAAATCAGAATTTAAATGGTCTCCGATTTAATTTTTGAAGTTTTCAACTTGATTTTACCTCAAGATTTGTGTCCGATCAAGATAATTTTTTGATGATATATATATATATATATATATCATAGTATAACAAGAAAATGATATGAGTATATGAAAGACAATTAACAAGAGTTACGAAAAGAAAAAAAAAAAAAGAGTACACAAGAATGATTCCAATAGCATGGCAATTTATGATATTAGGTCTTTAGAAACATAATATTACAAAATGACTCATTTGGATCTCCTTACAAAGAAGCCTTGTATGTGAAAAGGATGCTTGATGACTTGGAAGAGATTTAGGGTTTATATTGGAGTCAAAGCAAAGAGAAAGAGGTGACATGCCATGCTTATACTTAATAAATACGGCCGGTCCGGTCCCTCAAGGTTTTGATAGCTTAAAGAGCCCTCTTGAAGAAGAGGATTAGAGATGAAGGTTTTATCATAATATTGATTCAAGAGAAAGATATGCTGGATATCTAGCCAATATCATGCTTGAATCATATGTTGATGTAGTTTTTAAGCTTCTTAAATGAATGCTTGAAATTGAGCTATGTGATTTATTAAGTATTGACTTAATATCTATACATAAATAAAATTGTGAGGTAGATATCAAAATTCTCTTATGAAAATTTAAAAACGTGTTAGGTGATTTTGCATAAATTATTTAGCTATGCATTTGATTTGTGCCTACATAAGCTCAATCATGGTGCTTAATTAGCATACAAGTATAAGAAAAATTCAATTTTAAAAATTTCATTGGATTTGAGAAGGATTTGATAAGGGGGAGATCGGTGGAGAAAGAAAGAGAAGAAATCATAAGAAGTTCATTTATATGAGTTTGGAGAATCATCTTCAAGACCAATGATATTTCTTTAGAAAATTTTGATGTCGAAATCTTTTACTTTGTGTTTCGTCATCTATCTTTGATATCTAATATACATTATTTTCTCTTACTTGTTTTTTGAAACTTAGACTTTAATTGGGACAACTTTCTTATTGCTTCATAAAATTGTTTTCTAATATAAATATTTTTTGAACTTGAAAAATTTTAACTATAAAATTGTTTTTTTTTTTAAAGTAAAAAACTATCTCAAACAAAGTTTTTAATATTTCTAATTTTATTTGTTATTTGATGCCGGCGAACTTATATTTTGAAAAAAGCCGAACAGTATCATTATACCTCCTTTCGCCACCACAACAATAACTACAACAACATCAAGCCTTTATCCCACTACGTGGGGTCGACTACATGAATCCTTTTTCTCCATTGTGTCATATTAAAAGTTAAATTCTCGTATAAATCTGATAAAGAAAGGTCATTTCTAATATTTTCTAACCAAGTCTTTTTAGATATGCCTATACTTTTTTTAGCATAAGTCAAATCTAATACCTCTACTCTCCTAATTGAGTCATTGGAAGGCCGCCGTTTTATGTGACCAAACCATCTAAGGTGACTCTCTCTAATCTTATCTTCTACTGGAGCTACTCCAACCTTTTCACGTATATGCTCATTTCGTATCCTATCTCTAAGAGTAAAGCCACTCATTCACCTGAGCATCCTCATCTCTGCCACACCCAGTTCCCTTTTGCTACCAATAGCTTTTATTTTGATGTTATATCATTAAGAATTCTAAGATCGCATGTAGGGGTGTTAATATTTGACACGATCCGAAAACCCAACCCGAACCCGACCCGAGAAATTTGGGTTTGGGTCAACCCGACAAGGAAACGGGATGGGTTCGGGTTCTTTTTTTGGATTCGTTTGTGGTTCGGGTCGGGTTCGAGTCAACCTGACAACCCGTGTTTGACTTGGATGAACCTGCAAAATTGACTCGCTATCACACAATCACGTTGAGTCACTGACTGCCACGCACGTAAACCTCGCACTTCGCATGCGGCACGCCCAATGTTGTCTGTCATTATCTCGATTGCCTCGCCTGGCTAGCCACGTCGCACGCGGGCCTAGCCCAGACCGCTACCACGGACCAACAACTCACGCTTGACCTCAAACGCGCCGGATGGCACTCCACACTCGCGTTTGAACTCAGACCGATCGGACGTTGACGAAGCCGCAACAGCTGTCGGCTGGACTGGATGTAACCTAAACCCTATTTCGGGTTCGCCGGTTAGGTCGCGTCAACCTGAGAACCCGTGCGGGTCGGGTCCGGGTTGGACATCTTCACCCGTTTAACCAAACTGTTCGGGTTCGGGTCAACCATTTAAGCTCGGGTCAAGTCGGGTTGAGCCCGAAACTGACCCGTTGACCTGAATTTACACCTCTAATTGCATGTAAATTAGTAACAAAACCGTTCTAAAAGATGCATTTTACTACATATTTATATGAGGTAAAGTAGTAGAATCATGTTATCCATATACTACTTTCTCGACGCTGTTTTCCTTTGCAATTAGTTTCTTTTGGTAGTAGTATTTATGTTTCGTTTGAAACTATTTTTTTATTGTTTTTTAAAATAATGTTTTAGTATAAAAATTAAAATTTTTGTATTTAAAAATTATTTGAAGACGCTGTAAGAAATACATCCCAAATGAGGCCTTAATTATGTTCATGATGAATGCTATTGTGAGTGTATTTTTATAACATATTTGAAATGACTAAATTTCTATTTTGTCCTCACCTATTATAATTTTGATGTTATATCTCAAAATGTTCTATTATAGATTGTCATCTATTACTATGTCTTTACTTAATTAAATTTATTTTTATAAAAAATAGTAAAAAAATGTCATTTACTCTAACAAAGCTAAATAATAATCTATAAAAACTTTTTTTTTTTTACTTTAATTTGAAAAATAAGAGAGATCTTGCACAACTCTTCCCACTTTGGAAGTGAGCATCGTTTTTGGTGTAAGTTATGAGCCTCATTCTCGATAAAATTAATTTATAAAATAAATCTTTTGATAAAAAATAATTATTAAATTTAAATACAAACCTAATAACATACAGCTGAGTAATATATTATTAAATAGATATATTTTTTAAAAATTTAAGTATTATTGTAGATATTTATGATAAAATGGTTACCAGTTCATTTATTATGTTCATTTATGTGGTCTTCATATAAGATTTTGCTGAACCTAACCAAAAAAAAAAAAAAACTATATGATCAAATTTTGATTATCATAAAATTTTTGGTTAGGAAATGTATTTAACTTGTTGATACCTAACCAAAAAATTGAAACACAAGCCATTTTTGATGTAGAACTTGCTTTTATTTTATTTGCAAAAACATAGTCATCCAGTCGTAATTGTACTCTCCTTGCTTGTCGGCTGAAAAAACTGCCGTATTGTTGACGTCGCTATTGCAATTCTGTATAATTAGTTGTACTTCCGTAGCAATGTAGGTGATCCTTCGCTTGCCCGAATAGTCGTCGTCAGCTCCTTCTTCACTTCACCATCCCACCAAAGCCCTAATGTTTCATCCGAATGGTGCAGCAGATCTTGAATTACGTTCGATATGACGAATCTCGACGAAATGGAGTACAATGGTTTGCTGGATCTCGAAGGCGCGGAGTTATGCGGAGATCTCGAGGAGCGGAATCCTCCTATTTCGCTTCCCAACCAGTCTTCAGATGGTGCCCTTCTCGCGGTCGACATAGGAGGTGTGTTGGTTTTTCTTGCACTAGTTTCTACTTGACTGTGCAATTATTCGACATTAGAGTTGATGTGGCATTTTGAATTTGTTAGGAACTTTGATCAAATTGGTTTATTTTGAGGGCAATGAGGATGCTATGAGCCACGGGAGGGCAACTGGCGGTCAGCTCAGGTTCGTGAAGTTCCAAACAAGTCGTCTGGATGAGTGCCTGGAATTTATTCGCTTAAATAGGCTGCTCTATGGTAGAGGTATTAGTCTGTAGACTATACGCATTGCTTGCTTGGGATTGTTAAACTTTTGCCTAAATATTGTGATGCTTAAGTGGTTTCCCACGCATGACTACTTTCAGGACCACTAAACTCAGATTTTTGCATCTTGCAGTGTAATTCCTCGATTTGACTGGTTGCCTCAAATAATTTTGTTGTCGTTTATCTCGGTTGTGCTTTTAAATTTTTAACATTGGCATTTCCAAGATCCATTTCCAGCGGGAGGAACTGAGGAAGCACCCAAAATAAAGTATACTATTTCAGTATGATAGTAGACTCAGTGCAAATTATACTTGGTTGGATTATGGAAATAATATATGGGAAATTGAATGAAATATAAGACCTAAAAATTGAATGAAATAGAAGACCTAATAACTGTGGGCTCCAAAAATTTGCGCCCCGACCTTTTTGCGGACGCCTTTCTTCTTTCTTTGTGTTATCGAGGAGAGTTTTAGCGCTTAAGTTCCAAGGCAAATTTTCAGAAGGCAGATTGGATTTTGAATAAGATACTACCCATAGATTTTGCCCTCATTTTATGAGGACTTTATGATATGAGTTAAGGTTTCCTATAGGCGCAAGTCCCTATAGTTAATTACTCCTCTCGATGGAGAGAGAGAAGTTTTGATTAAGGCTAGTCGTCAAGTATTTAAAGTTGTTGGGGAACATGCGGGCTTTGACCATGACTATAATTTAGTGGTGCTATTTAGCGGCAAAACCATTTGGTTCAAAGGGTCCTGATCATAACTGTTTACCTTTGATGCCATTTAGGGGCGAAACTCACGGTGTGGTGCCATTTGACGGCGAAACCACCGGTTAGAGGACACGTGTTATGTCCTTACTTGGAAGAGATTGTGTGATAATGAATCATTGTGATATTATTGATCAGACATTGACTCTTTGTGAGCCGAAGTAATTTTTAAATTTATCCACCTTGGCAAATGAATTTTGCTTTAAGTATTTAGATGTTTTATTTCAATTTTAAATATTTTAGTCCTTGGTATTTTGAAAATTTTGAGTTTTCATGAGCATTTGAATGACATTTTTTAGTGTTTTTATCCTTCTCTGGTTGAGATTTTCTGTCAACATGACCATTATCAGGTATTTATGGGCAATTCATTTTGTTGTTTAAATCTTATTGACTCTGTCTATTTGACAACAGAGGATCGGATTTGTTGTAGGTTTTGTGCCTTTGTTAATGAATTTTTCTTGATGAGGGCCTCGAAGGCCTAATATGAATGTATAAAATAAATATATAGATCGATATTTATTTGATGGTTTGAGCCGTGTCAACTTCTATTTGTTCACAAAGAAAGATCGGGCTCGAACTTAGATTCATGTTTGACCCGCATAACATCATCAGATGTCACGTATGTGCCTACAACACACTCTTTGATGCTCATGCGGGTATATATTTTTGCATGTATTTGGTATAATACTTCCATGCAGTGCAAAATACATAGATTACATATGCTTGTTGGCTATTGCAATGTAAGCACGAAGGCATTTTAGGATATTAGTCTCTAATCAGTTTTGCGGGCAGTTGTCATTTGAATGTGCAGTGTTATATTTGAGAGCTTATAGACGCCTTCTGTCTTCTCGTATACATGTTGAGAATCCGGTGGCGTGGCATTGCATTATGGTTATTTGCTGCTTCTTGTAGATGGGTCATTGTTGAGAAATGCATAGGGCTCCACTTGGAAATTTGTAAGCGCCTTATATTCTCTCGTATGGATGTTGCGGATCCGGTGGCGTGATATTGCTCCATGTTTAATTGTTTGTTGCTTTACACAGGTAGACTATCGTGCATTAATGAGTCTCCTGCTATGGATACAAACACTTGCATTTGTTGTAGTTCTTTCGTATCCTCTCACATGCAGTATGTTATAATGGCTCTTCGACAACCGCTTGTAGGCGCTTGCATTAGCTGCATGCCCTCCGTCTCTGCTTGTATACGACATGTTGAATGTAATACGGTTTCCTGCAACAGTCCGTAGATATTTGTGCTTCGCTACGTATTATCTGCTTCTGTTTGTAGAGGGCCTGTGTATTTGACTGATATTAAGTGGTTGCTGGCTGTAGGAATGATTTAGCATCCTCTGGATGTTATTCGTCGTCACCTGTGAGTGGACTATTGTATGAATGAGGGCTCTCCTACATCTGCTTATGGATGCTCGCAATCATCATACGCGTTATGTGCACTTGCTATAAGCTTCATCATTCGCAACTGGACCACTTTATGAATGAGTCATCTACAATAATTTGTAGGAGCTCGTACTCTTTGCAAGTATGTTACCTTTGCTTATATGCGATCTGTAGTGTACATTGCAGCTTTCTGCATACCCTTAATGCTTCATCTCTGGATATCCTCTTCAGTTTTGTTGCTTGTAGGGTCGAGTACATTTGCTTGTACTTTGACATTGATAGCAAGGCGTAATCACATTTACCACCTACCTTTCATATTCATTGTATGTTGGCCGTCGTCATTTGCAAGAATCTAATATGTGTTCGTTTGCAAATTAACTGGGGTCGATGACAAGGAAATTAACTTCTTTATAACTTCCTTGTTTTGCTTACATGGATGTCGCACAAAACCCTTTGACAAATTATTATATTTGTTGTATGCCACTTACCACCACCTCTAAATAATTCTTTATGCATAATACGACTTTTTTGTCATGTTATCAGTTGGTTCATGATATAAGTGATAACATTAGCATTGTTGCTAATTGGCATTTGCATTCTAATCGACATAGCTTTCATGAATAAGCTATATTGTTCATTAAGAAGTTTGCATTTGTGGTTCTTAAGTCGCATTTAGAGTTCCTTGCCCAGCATGAGTTCCATATTCATCTATTTGTGTTCAATTATTCATCACTTGGTGAATGATGAATTCATTTCTATACATTTATTTAAGTCCATTTTATTGCTTTAGGTTCTATTCCTTGTGGTCGAAGTCAAGTCCACTGTTACTTGGTTCAGTTTTGGTCTCGTGTCATTGTCCAAACTCAGGTCCTCGGTTCACCAAAAATTTCGGCAACCTTCCGTCTTCTCCCTCGTTTAGAGAAAATTATGGTAGTCGGGCTTTCCCCTCCACGCTACAAGAGCGATTTAGGTAAGTGTTAGGAGACACCACAATCGTAGTTTGTAATCCCGCCATGCTACGAGAGTGCTTAGGGGTCTTTGAGGCACATGTGAAAATACGCATTTGATTGTCCCATTCACGCTATGAGAGCGCCTCGCCGCAAGTGTTGCAAGCGTGATTTTGAGTTAGGAACGTTATACCTTGGCGAAGCAGTGATTAGCAATGGTCGAGGCGACGATGAAGATATTGAGAAGCACAAAACTTTCTCCCTTTTTTTCTCTCTTTTTTTTTGCTATATACACTTTGTTTTTAATTACCTTGTTTTTTAATCCCCCTCATTTTTTACCCTTTTTTCCTTTTTTTTCTTCCTATTTTCTTATATATATACTCCTGGAAATAATAATAATACACTATTAATATTATAAATCAATAACACAAATGGTAATATTAATTTGATTAACAATAGCAATTGACATCACTTATAAAAGTTATTAACGAAAGATTTACCTGTTCAGACTTTATGAGAAAGTGTATAGGTGGGTTGTTGGGGTAACTAATTTGATTGGGTTGGTAGTGTACAAGAGTTAAAGGGAGTTGCTGCGGTTTTAGTAAATATAGGAAGAAGAAGGGGGTAGAATGAAAGGGTGCTATAGCCATTGGATTGGAAGGCTGATTGAGGTCAAGCGGCTAGGTGTTGATGGGTTAGGATTGGGTGTAAGGGTTCAGTCACCTGTATTAGGATCAGAGGGTCTCGATTGTATCAGAGTTGAGAGGCTGGTCAGGATCGTGGAAAGGTTTGAACGTCTACAAAAGTTGGATCGAACTCTTTGGCTGTACAAGGTCGGTTGCTATGTGGATTGATCAAAGTTTGGAGGTGGGATCAGAAGGTGTGGAGGTGTAGGTCTTGTGGCAAGAGAGTTCAATCGAAGGTCAGAAATTTTGCCGTAGGCGTTGGAGGCGGAAGGAGGCGTGAAGTGTCGAATTTATAGGGAGCTGACAGACAGGATCCGACCCAAGGGGGTGAATTCAGGTGTGGGTTTTAGTGGTCCTAGCTGAAACCGGCTTTCGAACGGGAGGCCTCAGTTGGATGGTTTGGTTCGAGTGCTATAAGGTGGAGAATAGTTTTTTGAAGGGAAAGTGACCGAGGGATCTTAGGTTCGGCTTGGACTGCAAATGTGAAGGTCAGTTGAATTTCAAACAGGAACGAGGTGTTGTGAAAGGAGTTTGGTGGAAGCAGAGTGGAGAGGGTCATATGTGCGACTCACAGGGGTTGTTTGGCTCTGTTGAGATCGATTGGAGTAGGTTGACAGGGAGGGATCCGAACCTGTTACGGCTTGTTCGTGGGGAAGAAGAACATGAGGGAGACGAGCTGTAGCTTGTGAGCAGAGATTGGTTGGTAGCTTGCGAGTGGAAGAAAAAAATGAATGAGCATTCTTTTTGCATTCGATTTAACGACGAGAGAGAGTTGATGAGCGATTAAGATTTGCATTCGCGGGATTTACGGGTAGAGACTCGACGTCGTTCAGCAGAGCGCAACGAATTTTCAGGTATTTCTCGACAGAGTCGAGTGGCTGGTCGGGATCGTGGAAAGGATCGGATGGCTATAGAAGCTGGATCGAACGATTTGGCTGGACAGTGTAGGTTCCTATGTGGATTGATCGAAGTTTTGAGGCAGGATCAGAAGGTGTGGAGTGTAGGTTGCGGCAAGAGAGTTCGATCGAAGGTCAGAAGGTTTTCCATAGGTGCTGGAGGCAGAAGTAGGCATAAAGTGTCGGATCTATAGGGAGCTGACGAACAGGATCCAACCCAAGGGGGTGAATGCAGGCATGCAGATCTGGTGGTCCTAGCTGAAACTGACGTTCGAACGGGAGGCCTCGATTGGATGGTTTGGTTCGAGTGCTGTAAGGTGGAGAATGGTTCTTTGAAGGGAAAGCGGATGAGGGATCTTAGGTTTGGCTTGGACTACATATGTGAATGTCGGTTGACTTCAAACGAGGTGTTGTTAAGGGAGTTCGGTGGAAGCAGGGTGGAGAGGGTCAGATGTGCGGCTCATAGGGGCTGTTTGGCTCTGTTGAGATAGGTTAGAGTAGGTTGACGGGGAGGGCTGAAAGTTTAGGAGTTTGATTCTGCTGTTAGAGGGTGTCCGGACCTGTTGCGGCTTGTGAGTGGGGAAGAAGAACGTGAGGGAGACGAGCTGCAGCTTGTGAGCAGAGAAAAAAAGAACGAGCATTCATTTTGCCTTCGATTTAACGACGGGCAAAGAGTTGACGAGCGATTAAGATTTGCATTTGTGGGATTTACAGGTAGAGACTCGACGTCGTTCATCGGATTTTCAGGGATTTCTTGAGAGAGACAAGGTTTGCATTAATTTGATTTGAAAATTTTCGTTTAACTTTATTATTTAATGATGATGATAATAATAATAATAATAATAATAAATTTATTATTATTATATTATTAAGTTCTAGAATATTAGAAACAAGACAATTACCCAAAATTGCCTTGATTTGCGTGCAATTACCTCTATTCTTGCCCAATTATCTTGAAATTCGTGTTGATTTGAGCGCGTGACTTTAGTTGGACAAAATTATAGCCTATTTTGGGTATTGTCGACGTTTCGATTGCAACAACACATTTCATTTTGCGATTGGAGGTTGTTTGGATGATGTTTCACGTTGATTTCCTAGATTTGCTTGTTGTTTCCTCGAGATTAGTGCCGATCTCTTTGTATGATCTTAATTGAATAAATTGATAGCCATTTTTGGGTATTGGCGATGTTTCGAACTCAATAGTGAAGTCCGTTTTGCTATCAGGCGTCGTTTGGGTAATGTCGCAGATTAATTTAGGGTGTCAATCATCCGTTTTGAACGATCTCGTTCGATTTGACTGCTAGAGGTTCTTCTTAGGCGAATTCGACGCTCTGATCGCAGCGGTGCAATCCGTTTAACGATCGGAGTTCTTTTGACCCATTAAGTGATGCGTCACGCATCAATTTTTGCCTCGTTTTGTTTGTTTTTGCGGATAGGGGTCAACAATAACTCATTGTAATTTTAAGAAATTTATATAAAATTGTTATTGAAATTTTAAGTTTTACTTTCAAATTGGGGAAACTATCAAAATAGAGGTCCTTACACCTCTTGCTAGTGCAGGGAATATCTTGTAGTAGCATAGCATTTGTTGGTTATTATAGTTATTATGTACTTCTCTTTGTCTTCTCTTTCTCCTATCCACTAGACTTTATCCTTTTAAAGATTACTGCTATACGCTCTCTTCTCTCTCTCCCTCTCCCTCTCTCACTCACTTTTTTTCCTCGGTTTCTCTTGTGGATTTCGTTGCCTCTTTGCATCATTTTTGTTTCTAGCTGAATCGTACTATAGGAATGCACCATGATCCTTCTTGTTTATTTCCCTGTTCCTTCCTTTTCCATAGGAAAACTCCTTTTATTAAGATCCCTAGTCAATGAACTTTCTGTATAGAATATCTATGGAAAAAGATAAAGGATATTGCTGTTCTTCAATTTCTTGATATTCTCGCAAAGATAGAATTCCTGATTTCCACAGATACACTAGATTGTTCTATTTGGGATTTCATATAATTATATAATAATAGCTTTCTTGAGGCCTCTTGCTCATATATCTTATCAAAAGGTGCAATTCTATAACATCTTCTTACTAGATACTCCACGAACCCAATCAAACATTCAATTGTATGTCCCACATTAAGTTTTGAGGTGATGCAATTTCAAAATCAGTAGAAAATTAAACAAAATTTTTTCTTGAAATCTAAAAGAGCAAAATGCAATAATTAAAAATTGAGGAGTGGTGGATGGTACTGCACCCTCTTAAATATGTGGCTTCTTCATTGCTTAGTAATACTTAAAAATTCATAGAGCAGCCATCACCCATGCTGCAATTTTTGGTGTGTGTACTTGGTTACTGTTTTGTTTGTATTCCTGCCTGAAGCTACCATTGAACTAAATCTGTTGGGTTTTAGATAACTTGAACTAGATCTAAACTGAATAGGTCTACCATGTGCATTAAAATTTATTTGAGTGGTGATGTAAGATTCTATGTTTTTTACTTTAGAACCCCTCTTTGCCAGCATTCTGTCCAATGCAATTTCAAGGGCTTTGAAATTTTTTTGCAACTAAAATGTAAATTTTCTAAAAATTTGTGATCATTAATTCAATGTTTAAATCATTCTTTCTATTATTTGCTCAATAAGTTAACATATTAATTGAACATAACCAAAGTTGAAAGTTTTGTAAATTTTCTTTTACATCTATAAATTTATCTGATATTTTCTTGAACCTAATCTCTTTTTCTCTTTTTTTGGATTTGGATTAGATTTTTATAAAAATTACTATTCATTGACTTTGCAGGATTAGACACAGGATCTACAAGCTTGAATGTAAAATTCAAGGTAGACATAAATCCGAAGATTCTACAATATCATAAATTTACATTGTCTCCATGGTTTTCTTTTATAATGTAGTACTACCAGATACTTTTTTATTTTAACCATCTTGACGTAATTCTAGAAGTTAAACAAAATTTGTAAACCTATGACACAGAGGCATCATTTGTTCTTCAACCATATTGATTGATAATTATTAGTTTCACCCCCACTTGATTTGCATATGAAATACTTGGTCTTCGTTCTTCTAGTTGTGAGCTCTTAATTTTTAAAATCTCTCTTATTTTTTATAACTGTTTGCTTATTTTCGGAGAGCTTTCACCAATTTGACTATATTATCTGCAAATGAAATAATTCCATTATTCTCCATCACACCAAATAACTTCTTAATGCAGTCCAAATTAAAACTCATTGTTTTTCATCACATTCATTCTTATGATTGATGAAAAACTATATGATTTTGGCTCTTAATTAATTCAGTTATCAATAATATTAGCACAAAAATCATGGTAAATCTTCTCACAAAAATTAATTGGTTTTCCATTACCAGTGTGATTTTTTAAGTCTAAGTTGTATTACCCTCTTCCAAATTCATTTATTTTTTGTAGATTGGTTCTCTTATTATTACTACGATGTTAAATATCTTGTTTATTCTTACATATTTGTTCCAAATTGCTTATTCCTCAATTACTCGGTGTCTGCAGTTTCTAAGATTCTATTAAAAATATTTGGTGGATAAATTACTTCTTTGTTTGTTCATTGAAATAGTTAGGATAAGGCTAATTATGCTGGCGATGATATTTATTTTTTTGAAATCTTCATAATCCAACATCCAGTTTCATAAAGTTCTGTATGTTACTGTTTTTTTATGTTATACTAGGCTTTAGTAAAATCCCCATCTTCCGTGATTATGGCTGAATTTTACCTATTTATCTGCTGTGGCTATTGTTGAGTTTGGCCACCAACCAAAGCCTGATTGTAGATGCTGTTTTGTTTAAGAAAACAGAACTACAGTGAAGTTTTTATCAAATAATATCATATTCTATTGAAGCAATTCATCTTTGCCACTTGTTCCATGCAATCACACTGGGACTACAGAGCTATTATGGAAGAGGATGAAAAATGGACCTGTCATGGTTAGTTTGTTGTTGTGCTTAAACAGTATTTGCTGGCGGAAGGAGTTTTCCATAGTTCCAACTGTTGCTTTAAGCTTCTCACAGTAAAAATTCTACTTGCTGCATCAAAGTAATTAGAAATGGTTACAAAATACTAGCAAACCAAATGCATGCTTCTTTCTTTTTGAAGAGCCCGTGGCTGAAATTATGAATAACCTTGTGGAGACTATCAATGGAAGATTACCATCCAATCACTGGCATGCTAACTTTAACTGCTGCTAAAAATTTCTATATGATTCTTTGAAGCCATTGTTTTTGGGGCATATCGTTATTTTGCTTTTGGTCCTAGTGTTCTCTTACTTGAAATATAAATGCCATGTTCATTCCTCTCTTGTTTTTCTTTTTGTCATTTTAGCGATACCTTACTGGTACCACGACCTGCTACTATATTGTTATGTTATTGATGCTGTTATCACTTTTATTATGACCACTACTAATATTGCCTGCTACTAATATTGCCTGCTAATGTGCTGTTATATTCTGATTACCACGGTTACCGCAACTACTGTCACATCTACTAAGGCCAACTCTACCACTATTGCTCAATTTGATACTTCATGTCAGACTTTGACTGTAAACAACCATAGGTGATGCATTCACTTTTTTTATCGAATGATGTTGTCAACTTTTGCTCATCTTTGTGAACAATTTTATAATGCGTTGAAACAATGAGATAGATGGTTCAGGACTTAACTTCCTGTTGTGTAGGCTATTGCATTCTTCATCATATGGCTATTCCATTCTTTTGTTTAGTCGACCATAGGCCTGCTTCTCATGGTAACCAATATCGCATTCTTCCTCAGATGAACTATCAAATGACTTGTGTTTCAATGCTTTGTGTAGGCGACAGGTGGTGGGGCCTTTAAATTTGCTGATGTCTTCAAAGAGAAGTTTGGTGTTTCGCTGGATAAATTGGATGAAATGGATACTGTTGTAACTGGAGCTAACTTCTTATTGAAGGTTTTAACTTTAACTTGTCTTTGTTGCTTAGTTTTGGTGTTTTACTTAAATACACATTTTGTTTCTTATCTATCTAGTCTGACCTATAATCTGATATGATGTGTTTAATGTTCATTCATCTATCTTAATGAGTTTTAAGAAATATTTAAAATCACTCTTGGTACGTTGTTATAGAAATCGGTGGCATCAGGCCATATGGCATGAAATTTTTATTTTTTGTCATATTGATGTGTTATGTTTAGCTTCTTTTAGCAAATTTTTCCTGATATTAAGTGGTGCATGGCTGCATGCTATTTATTTGCTCAATTTTTCACTATTTTAGAGAATTCCCATCACTTTGTTGACAAAATCTTCTGATTGACATTAAATCATGGAGAACTAATAAAGCTTTCATCATTATCACGTTTAAACAAAGTGAATATTCATCATTTAGTACAAGTCAAACCTAAAGGATTTTTGTTTAAAAGCTATCTTACACAGGCATTTGCTAACTTGAACTTTATGAGTTGATTATAAACAGAAAAACTCTTGTAAATTGATGCATGACTGGGCAAGGAAATGAAGGCAACAGTTAATTAAAGATTCTTATGTAGGACATTGGGTCATGTCTGTGATGGGATGCTGGTGATGTGTTGCTCAATCAAATTGTGGAAATTGTAGCGGTGGTTGATGTTATTAATTTTGATCTATATTTCAAGATCAATTTGAAAAGGGAAGCAATCGCTTGACACCTGCTCCTTCCAACTATTGATTTCAACTTTTTAGGAAAACAGCTTATTCATATTATGTATCTCTAGTTAATCACATCTCTTTTTATACCCTAATGAATACAATGATGCATGCATCGCAAGGAATTTCATTTATGCACTGAAATTTAGTAAAATTTTGACAGCATTACATGAAAGTCCAATATATAGATTTACTTAGTAGACTAGTATAATATCTTGTGCCAATTGACAGAAAGGAAAGCCAGTTTATTTGGATTATATTTTCCTCTAAGCAGTTTCCATTAAAAAAAATGTAACGGCATCATATGATTTATTTACTAGAGATACTGCACTAGCAGGTTTCTTATTTATGTTTTCAAGTAAGAAATTTTTAATATATCTTTCTTTTTATATTTACATTTGTTTCCGGGAAACATTGCTCTCAAGAGAGTCCATATTCGACAAAATTGAAATTTGAATGATTATTTATATCATTTCAATGAATTTGATCATATTTTTGCCATTTTTGTAAGTGATGGTTTGAATACGATAAAGTGTATATTATATATATATATATATATTCTCTAATTTCCACATGATTTTATTATGTTTTGGGGTTCAACACTTTGTTCATTTCACTATTTAAGGCCTTTCTTTATTTCTTTCTTGAAGGGAGAAACTTACTGTTGTTCCACCTGTTTTCCAAACAGAAAATCCCAAATGAATCCTTTACATGTATGCACGGGAAACGGACTCCTGTAGTTGTTAGCCAGCAGAATTTGTTCCCGTACCTTCTTGTCAATATTGGCTCTGGAGTTAGTATGATAAAGGTAATACTGGCATATTATTAATTGTTTGTTTTTTTTCTCAGTTTTTCTGCCTAATCTGTATAGCTGTGTGGAAGTTCTAATAAATGTCAATAGTTTGTAGGTGATGGGAAACAGGAAGTTTGAACGGGTTACTGGCACACATATTGGTGGTGGAACTATGTTTGGGCTGGCAAAACTTTTAACAGGTTGCACAAGGTAACTTATCCATCTATGGATGGTCCACAATCCTTAACTGTGCATGGATATATCCAATATTTATGCAGGTTTTTGTATTGGAAAATAATGCCATTGGAAAATAATGGATGGCAAAAAACTTGATTGGAGCATATGCAGGGCATTTCTGCAGAAGAAGTAGAAATTTCAGAGTAAAATCCAAACAGACTTTTTTTGTATATGCTTTTGCAGGTATGATGACTTTTTACAATTGAGCCAGCAAGGAGACAATCTTGTGCTAGACTTGATTGTTAAAGATATTTGTGGAGAACTTGTGTGTCTAAAGGTGAACTTTTTTCCTGGTTCACTTACTGATTTTCTGTTTGAAAATGTATGCTGATGCATACCATTTACTTCTGTTATTTTAATTTCATCAATCACAAGCAATATTACACCATTGATAGGATTTGTTATATTATGAGTTTTTTTTAATTGCCATGTAATTTCCATTATAGTTATGTTTATTTTTTCTGCTATATATTTTTTTATGCTGCATTTCTTTTTGATAAGTTAATTTTTAAAATTTTATGTATGTTACGACCATCACTTAGAAAAAAAATATTTTTTGTTTAAATTGAGCATGCATATTATTCCTGATGCCTTGTGTTACTGTAATTTAGGAGCATGGTGTGCTCACTGAATTCTTTTATGACTCACTTTTTTTTTATAAATGAATTTAGGTAATTGCGGAAGTAAATGATTACATTTATTTTTAGTGAGCTTTACAATCCATAACTCTACGTCCACAATGAAGTAAATGATGTTGATATTGTGTAGTTGCACCTCCTTTATTTTTAGTGAGCTTTACTTTACAATGATTACATTGTATCTTCTCACTGCCATCACTTTTTTTTATAATTGTAAACTCCTGCCATACTGAGGATGTCTTCTTCTTCATTTTTTTTTTGCAAATGGATTTTCATTTTGATCATCTGTAGCTGCAACAGTTGGGCTTGAAGATGACCCAACACTAAATTGACTCTCATGCATTGGTAATTGCGGAAGATTTGGCATTGACTCTATGAAATCAAGTTGTGGCGGTGAGTTTTGTGACATATCTTTCAAGAAATTAAAGTTAGAGATAGAACATGAGTGGTTAGTTAGCATCTGCAATACATACTAGCAAAAAATATTAATAAGAAAATCATAGAGCATATTACTAAGGGAACGTTCATACTTCTTAATTGAACTACTACATGCTCTAAAGGAAATCCTAGATCATACTATTATAAAGCACGCTTTATCGCATCAAAAACACCGCTGCGCTTTGCAACTGTGGTAATAGTACCAGACATGGCCACAAAAACATCTTGACAAGTGAAACTTGGAATCTAATTGACTCAAAGTACACTGCAGTAGAAACAACCATATTTTCCAGTACAAGAATTGCAGCTATTTAAATAATCAATAACACATGTTCCTGGGTTTCTGAGCTGGAAGAGCAACAGCAGGTTGGAACAAGAAATATTTAGCCTAAATCAAATCTATAGAAACTGCAGAAATTAAAACTACAGCATTAACCTAAATTAGAGCAAACCTAAATCAAATCTATAGAAAAGACCTAAATTAAATCTACAGAAACAAGTTGGAACAAACCTATTTATGAAGTTATGTTTGTAGTTGTAGTCTTCCAAGAGCAGGGGTTCGACCACGATGAACCTAGGGAAGAAAGAGGAGTTTACGAGGGCGGCGTAGGAAAGGAGTCGTTCAGGCGTTCGGGTACGAATGACTTTTGAAGGAGGGTTTTGACTTACGAGCACAGTATGCCCGAAGGCTTGAGGCACGAGTTGAGCGGCATAAGAGATCAGGGCAACTGCGAGATTTTGTTTGTGCGGACTTGTAGCTCTATTATCAATTTATTAAGAATATATATATATATCAATTAATAGATGATAACTAATGATTTATTTATGAATATATATTATAATATTTGCTTAAGTTTTATAATTTATGAATCATTAATTATTATATTATTAAATTATAAAAAATATAAATATTTATATTAAATTATTCTACAATTTTACAATGAGACTTTATCGATCTTGATATCAAACATTAATCAAGTTATTTAATGAGCTTGCTCACAAGTTCCATATTGAACAATAAACGAGTTTTTATCGAGCATCTTATCGAGTTTCTTATCGAGTATGTTCACAAACTTTACATGATGTTGTTTATGAACATAAATGAGCTAAGCATGTGATTGTTCAAGCTTGTTCATTTAATCATCGAGTATTTAAAAAATATTCAAGCTTGTTTGATTACTTAATCAAATTATTACGAACGAGCCTTAATCGAGCTGAGCCACGAGTAGCTTGTCGAACGCTCAATTCGTTTGCAACCCTAGGGATGAGCACGCTTAATTGATGAGTTTCTTAATGAAAAATTCTAACTATTTTACCAAAAGACGCCTCAATTTTGAATAGTTTAGTTTCTTTTATCAGAGTGGTTTCACAAACTAACCCTAGGAATAAAACTAAAGCAAACATCAAAGAACACAGCTTGTTCTTTATTCGGATCACCATGGAATTATTATATTAACATCAAATAAAATTCAAACTCAGAATGCCAATTTGCATCAAATTTGCCCAACTTCAAAAGTTGGGACTCCAATTAATTAAACATTTGATATTTATTTATCAAACTAAGGCATAATTGCTGATCTTCGTGTAAAATAATTCATGAATCATTACAAGTAGTTATATCACACTAGTGCACAAGATATTTCTAGAATCTACTATCAATACTTAACATAGTTTCATCATCTAGAATAGCTTCAATCGTAAGAAATATAAATGCAAAGTGTTGGGTTTGATTTCACGAGGGGTTGGTGAGAAGACTCCACATTTTAGTTGTATGTTCATGAAATAAAATCAAATCATGTGTATTGAAAATTATTCTAATAACATAATTCTCTAGAATTTTCAATTTATAATTATTTGTCATGATGCTGTATAATTTTTATATTCTCTTCTTTCTAATAGTTAATTTCTTAAAAGTCTACTTGTAGGATTTATGCATACTATTGCTTCAACTCCTGGTTTGAATTCCGCATACCTCTTATTTACATTAACAATACACTTATGATTGCCATAATTAAGAGTTATACTTTGGCTAATATTTTCATACAAATCAGAGAAATCACGTAGATGAAAAATACGACATAAGGATGATGTTGAAATGCTAAGATACTAATATGCATCTTAATGAATAATAATTGCTATTTTTCTTTATTCATTGTGATTGAAATGATAAAAATATTAAATTAGATAAATCACATAAATATGATATGTTTATGTGGACGGATAATCTCTTTTTAAATACAAATATTTCAACTGGGCTAAAAAATAGTTATGAATTTTTTTTTGCTTTTAGATTTGATTAGATAGACGATGTTTAAAATTAAAGTCTATTTTAAGGTATTCGTTATAACAAATTTTCTAAAATATTGGTACAACTTAACTCTTTTCATAAGATTTTCATATGAATTTGTATGTCAACATACCAAAAGCTAAAAATCAAATTAAGATCAATTTGATCATTCTTCATAAATATAATTTTCATGTATAACATGTCAAGAGTATTGTTATTAGTTTTCAAGTTGATTTTTTAACTACAATATATGTGATTGGTTCAATATCACACTTAGGAATGGGGCTCGATCTTTATTGGAAATTCAGATTTAGATATGATTTCATACTTAATTTCAATTTCATACTCAAATTTTGACTCTTACTGAATGTAGATTTAGGTTCATAAACATGATCTACTTTAGGTAAAATTCAGATTCAGTCACAAAATGTGTAAGCCATATTGTAATTTCAAATGATCTTCCATGTCTAATAAATCCTCAAAAAAAATTATGAACTAATATTTCTTCAATACGATCTAGATTCAATCATACGTGATTCTTGTGTTGGTATGTGTATGAGATAGTATTAATTTTTTTCAATGGACATTAATGATTAGTGTGATAATAGTAATATAATGATTTAATATTCCTAAATATTCAAATGTTCGTATAAACCTCAATTAGTATTTTCTGTGAATTGTAGAGCTAAATTTATCATTAATCTATTGCCTAAGATTTTTAATGAAATGGATTATGATAACATAAAAATCTAGAGACAAATAATATTTAGCTATAAGACTTGTAAATCTTGCATAATATTCAAACCCACTACAATCACTTTATTTATAATTTTTAAATTAATCATAAAATTGATCCCTATAATTATCGAATGGAAAAAATTGCACTTTAACTCTTTATTTCATATTGGCCCATTTGGATTTAGTTGTATCACTTCGCCTAAATGATTGGACTTGACGTACTTGTTTGAATTTTCTTTTTGGAAATCAGATGGATTGTAATGTTCAAAAGATTCAAATTATCGACTCAATTTTAAAATTTTTTGATATTATATCTCCCATTGAATTTAGATATATAATTCTGAACTTCACGATGATTGAACTATAACTTGATTTTTGTTTATATTGCATATTTTGCTATTTTGTTAGTTGACACAAATATTATGTTCTAATTCTAGTTGACATGAGGATGCAATATTAAGTTCTAATATTAAATATATTGCATGACGTCTTAGGGCATATGGTTTATTAATGCATATTTTTTATGAAATGCACAAAGAATAAAACCCACAATCCACAAATTTTTAAGTTGGACAAAACATTTATTTCTTCAATGAAACATCCAATACACAAGATTCTTTCGAATGGCCGTCCAGCCCAAATAAAATATTACAATAAATTCAAGATTAATAAAACTACACATTTATTGAAAACTCACTCAATCGAATATTACACTATATTTGAAAATATTTTAATCACTCAAGCAAATCAATCACCAATTTTTTAGAATAGAAACGGAGCAAGAAAAGGAAGTTATTTGATAATATTTTGGGGCTTATGCTGGTACAAAGTGATTAATTCTCTCAGAATAAGGTATTCACTATTTTCAGTACACTGGAACTATACACATCCAATAGGCACTCAAGAACAAAGAAGCAAAAAACTCAAAAGAGGAATATTGAAAAAATGTTCTCCTTGTCTTTATTTATAATCATAAACTTCTTTCACAAAATAAAATTTTGAATTAAGTGTTCCTAATCATCACTCACATTCATTTATTTTCATAGTATGAGCAACAATATACACATCAAGAAGCATGGATTTAAGAACCCTTGAAAATGATGAACACTGACTGGAGATATTAGATTCTATTTTGTATGTGCTTGTCTAGACCTATGAGGAGCTGCAGTTGACTGAGATATTAGGCCTTGTTTTAGTCAAGAAAGTTAGAGCCACTTTCTATTGACTCGGCATAATTTAGTTTGCATTATAGAATTGTATACTTGACAATTTTGTTTTTTTGGGTTCATAAATTTACCCGCCTTACTTTACCGGTGAATGTATTCCTTAGATGACTAAACAAGATTTCACTCAATAACTTTTAGCATTCAATTCTCAGCAAGGTCTATCAGCTTCAACGCTTGCTTCCAGCTTTGGAAAGGTTCTAAGCTCAAGAAGAAAGCTTTCTGACTACAAAGCTGAGGATCTTGCCACAACATTATTGAGCGCATTTACTTACAATATTGCCCAGGTAATCTATTCTTTTATATATCCTTAATAGGTTATATACTCAATCCTGCTAGGCTGCTAGTTATGCTTGTTGTCAAAATTAGATATATTTTATGTTCTTGTCATATCTTCAAGGTTGGGTCCATGACCCAAATTTATGGCACCTAATGAATGCTCTTATTAGTCAGAAACTCATTCAATCTTTGAATTGATTCAAAATCAAATCTAATCATTTTGAGTCCAAATAGAATACCTATCTTTAAAAAATTTCCTTGTTGAGGTTGGATCACTTAAAATGAATTTGCTAATAACATTGAAGATCTCTCTCTCTTTCTCACACACACACTCCCCTGACAATAAATAATTAGGATAGATTACCATCACTTAATGAGGAATCAGAACGAATCATTTTTTTTCCATACAAATTTACTACTTATTTCTCAACTAGGTCATTTTTATTAATCTGCACTATATGAAAAAGAAAATCTGAATGAAGAGTTTTGTTTTGTTCATTTGTCAATCGTACATCTAATTGAAAAAAAAAACGTTACAAAATCTTAATGATGCACATCATTCATCATAGCCTACACATCCAAGTTTAGTTTTTCTCACTTCTCAAGTACAAAATTCAAATGCTAAGTTATGATCATTCATTACTAATCTAAAGCAGCAGAAATGGTAGTACACCCTTTCATTGTGATTTAAGTTTTGCAAACTATATCACTCTAATCAATATTTCTTATCATGATATAAATGTCATGATTTTATAGCACACCAGTTAAAATTTTTCAAGACCTTGCATCATTTAAAACAGATTTAAGGTTTTTTTTTTAATTTCAGAAAAATATTCTAAAGAAGAATTTCTGATGGACAGTGTGGCTCAATATTCATTTGTTGATTTGTTCATCAGGCTTGATCATGGTCTTAACTCAATACTTACATAAAAAGTGGTCAAATTTGATCCAGAAGTTTTGTGGCAGATCAATATTGATTTCAATCTGAATATTTTACCTAGAAAATTAATGAGTAATGCTTCAATCCCCATAGAACCCTCTTTTTTGGGATTTTCTTTGGATAGTTAAGTATTGCTCAGAATTAATTGTGTATAGTACGAATTACTCTCACAGAAAAGTTAGTAGGTTATTCTTATATATTCACCATATACTGACCGCTATAATTCTATCTGGATTGAGATATTTTTATTGACAAGTTTATGTTGTCATATTCTTTCAATCATTCAACATTCGTTTTATAAAGCAAGACTGTTAGCTTAGTTTACACCATGAAGAGTGGTTGGATTCCAAGTTTCATTAAAATTTTAGATGATTTGGTTATAGATCAAGCCATCTGTAGACAATCTAAATAATGTTGTAAATGATTCACTAAATTTACGGCATAGATTACTGAAAATCAAATCAAAATTACTGAGCATGCATGCCACTAATCTAGACTATTTCAATGGCCTTTATTTTAAGAAATATATGTGGAAGTACTGATTTCATTGAGGGGCATTACTGGCATTAATTATTTTATGTTAAGTTTGTTAAATGATCAAATATTCATTGAAGTGTGTAAACTAGTTCATTAAGTTATTCTTAATTTGGACATCAACATTATATTTGAAGGTAAAATAAAAAAATGTTAACGTGCAGGTAAAATAAAAAAAATGTTAACGTGGAGAATAAGCTTTGTCCATGTCACACCCCACGTCACCCCCGGTAATGTAGGGTGCAGCTGAGAAAAACAACAATCATGAAATTTAAAGGTCATCATCATAAATTAATATTCATTCTTCGTTTTATAAATTCCTCAATATATAGAAGCATCCAAAATGTCTCATTTTATACATATATGCATAATTACATAGTCTTACACACTCCAAAATATTATAGTAATAAACAGTCTACATACCTCTGCTGTAGACTCAAATGCACAGGTATGCAACAAAATATAAAGTTTTATAGTGACCTGAGGCTATTCAATTTCCACTTCATTTTTCTCCCTTCTTGTAACAACAACCAGAATAAATATCTGATGAGCTATAACGCTCATAAAGTTACGCAAATTAAATAAACAGTTAAATGCAAGCTTAATGGAATTAACATAATTGAAATCTTAACTGAATCAAATCATAAACAATTTGATAAACAACCTTAAAATCATATTTATCATTATCTTTTATATCATTTGAAGCCTATACAAAATATCATAATTATTCTTCTAAGGTATCCTGACTATCATTTCTCATGTAGTTAATTTTCATAAAAATGCTCAATGGAGCCCAAGTAAATATGACATTATCGATATTGAATTACATAGAGGTCCATTTTGCCTCATTCGTGGTCACTTTTGCCCCATCAACAAGGCAGGTTTCATATCTAGGGTTCCTTTTGCCCCACCTGCAATGCATATATCATAACATTTTATAGCCAACCTTTTCTAACTTGATATTCATTAGACTTCAAATTAAGATCTTATACTTGTTTTGTCATGCTTCATACTTTCTTATAAATGTTCTACTTACTATAATGTTGCATAAACAGACTATGCATGCAATACATAAAGAAATGCTTTTCTTTTCAAAACATTGTTAATTAGAACACATTTATCTAATCATATAATACTTCATGGTAAACTTAAATCATAAAATTTTACATGTGGTCGTTCATACCTATATGTTTGCTGTAGATGCACTAACATATAGAAGTAACTTTAACGCCCTTTTTAACCTTCATTTTTTTAATTAAATGCAACTATACAAATCTAAAAATTATCACATTTATTTGGTTAAATTAAATTGCATTTCTTACCCCTTTGTTGAATTGCCTCCTCGAATTTAGCACATCGTACCCTTTTTCTCTTGTAAATTATCTCGCAACCAGATTCTCTTCTCTTCATAAAGCAAATAAAAATCCTAACAACACAATTAAGTCCCTTTAACAATTTTATCAATATTTGCATATCCACAAGACAACCATAAAATAACAAAAAAAATGTTAACCTTGGTTCCTTATTCCCTCACAATTTTTCTCATTTTCATCTCCTTATTGTTTACTCTTTTCTCTACAATTTACTCCACCAAATACAACCCCCCACACTCACGGCAAGCATTCACTCCAATAATTCCCTCCAACAGCTGCCGAAACCAAGCCCACGGCCTACTCTTGCGTCTGCTCCCTTCCTCCCCACCGAATCCTCACCACAGGTTCCACATAAAGCACAATCTACTGAGTAGGCTTACCTGATATTGCTCTAATACCTAAGCTCAAATGTTTCCTAACCATCAGATTCCCTATCAACGGTTGCATGCATTAAGATAGTGGAAAGCTGAGGGATTTTTATATTAATTAGTGTATTAGTTAGTGTTGTGCCACTGTAAGTGCAGAACTTCAATTTCAATGTCTTAGCCGATGTAAGGAGTAAGTGAAATGATAGGTTAATATATAATATTTTAGTGAATGATTTCTGCTGTGCTACAGTATTTTCATTTGCTAACATAAGGGCTGACTAATATGCTGAAGTTAACTAAGTCTTGAGAACAGTATAATCGTACGATTCTTAATGTAGATAGTGTATTACTTAGCAGAATTCATTTTAACATTTTAAATTAACTGCATTTAATAAAATCAACCCAAATTGATGATATCAAATTTAGTTAAATGTTAATTCATATGATAATTTCAATACTTTTTGCTATTTCAGGATAGAAAATCAAGTTCCTATTTTTACTTGAAACTTTTGGGTATTACAGTCCATGTTAAAAGGATCCTTATGGTATATATACATTGCATGTGATGATTTATGATTTTCTGTCTATGGAATCTTTCCAACAGAAAGAAACCTGAGGAAAAAAAGTTTCGTTCTATCCTTTCTCTTTCTCTCTCTATATAAATAAAATATACTTGTTTATGTTTTTAAGGGTTTTCTCCATCTTTACTTGGGGAAATAAGCCTCAGAGTCCGGAATAAGGTTTACACATTGGTTATGTCATAGTTCATTGAAAAAAAAAATTACATGCTGTCCTCAACTGTAGCCTACATACTTTTTTCTTCTAATTATCCTCCTCCTCCTGCCTTCTTCTTTTGCTTCTGCTTCTATTCCTGCTACTCCTCTTCCTCCTCCTCCTGCGTCTTCTTTTTTTGTCTCTTTCCCTTCTTCTGGTCTTTTTTCTTCTTCTACTGCTTCTTTTTCTTCTCTTTTTTTCTTCTTCTTGTTCTTCTTTTACTCCTTTTTATTTTCCTCCTCTTCTTCTCCTCCTCCTACTCCTCCTCCTCATTCTTCTTCTTTCTTTTTCTTTTTCTTCTTCTTCTCCTTCTTCTTCTTTTCCTTCTCTTTCACCTTCTTCTTTTTCTCCTTCTACTTCTCCTCTTTTTCTCCTTTGAGAGCTAAAAGTTTATAATACCCACAATACATTAACTTTTTTTTTCTCCTCAACAGTCCACAATTAATTTTATAGACAACTACAACTATCCTAAATGGACCCTTTAATTAACTCTAAAAAATAATATAAAAGTCGCCAAAATCTTAAGTTTCTTGTGAAATTTGAGAAAAACGTTAAATTTTATGAAGATTAAGATTCACACCACAAACATGGAAAGCAACATGTAACAAACCTAAAAAAATTTTAATCACTCACACAAACCACTCATAAATCAATTTAGATGAACAAATAATAATGGAAGTCAACAATTTCATACGTTCCTTAAATTAAATGAAAACTTGCACATAAGCTTATCATTATGTTTAAGAAATACGACCATTAGTTCTGATCATAAAATTACTTTGCCATGTACAAAAGTGTTAAAGAAGGAAATAGAAAGCCAATTTTTGCTACACTAGCTCCATACGTTTGGAGCTGAACACAACAACAATATCTATAGCAGCACTTTCGGAGACAAAATAGAGGAACCAAGTTGCTGAAATTGGGATTGAAATCCGACCATTCTAAGGAAATTTATGAGAGCTGAACTGAAATAACTTGAAATAATAAATCAAATTGTTCCACCACTACAATCAAAATAT